CTACTTATTTGATTACAGGTTAACGAGGGAAAGGCCTTTTGAGTTACTTGCAGCCTTTGGAGTCCATTGTCCAATTACTTTTGGTCCCTTGAAAAAGAGGAGGCTCTGCATTACAGAGCTATGATTCCTAAACCCTTTCTCCGATTTGGATGTGGAAACTCTCATATTGCAGCTGGGAGTGTGCACTTTCAGCCCATATTACATATAAATTGTATTTCTGAACATATTTTTGTCAACAGCTCAAATAACAAAACCTGTGTCACTGTCCAAATATTTCTGGCCCTAACTGTATTTGAAAATCATAGGATGTAGTCACATGAACCGGTGTATTTCACATGTGACTACACACCATGATTTTCGCACCTGAAACATATTTCCATTGTTATTCTACATTGATTTCTAAATTTGAAACAGGACTGGTAAAACACTGATAGCACGCGAGGCATTCAGAATTGTTTCCCTGCTATTTTCCCATGTGCAGATCACACTAGTAAATTTCAATTTGGAAGCTTTTATCACATGTGCTGCACATATGACTGCATGATAATTTCTACTACGTTTTCCACATGTGACGCATGGGTTTCGGATGTTATTTCAAAGCATAATTTAAAATACGAGAAAAATTGGAAACCATGCCAGAGATGAAATGTATTTAATTTAGCTTTTATTCATTTATCTTTCCAGCAGTGATTTTTTTATTTATTTTTTCTTATTTTTAATTTTATTTATTTCTTTTTTTTACAAAGTACAGTTGCCACATGTAAAACATCCGTTGAAAATGTGATAAACCTTCCAAATGAGTTTAGCACTCCTTTTTTTTATTTTAGGAAATATTTATTATAAAATAATTTAATCGCAGATGGTCAAAAGGAGAAAGCTTATGTCCCATTGTATACTTTCCTGTTGAAATAGATTTGTAGGAAGAAATATTTATTGTGTAGAAAACTGCAGTGTCAAAAAGTATGATCTTCTATTTAAATAATTATTTGCAGCTTCTGTTTTATAATTTACATAGTTTTATCAAAGCGTGCTGAAGAAGGATCATATTTATATATATCTTAGATCCTCTTTTGTATGGCAATAATTGACTCAAATCCTCATAACCCCAGAGCTTTCATTTCTAATAGCTATGGCTCAGAGGAAAAATGAGTTTTCTGGTATCTGGAGTTACTGATTTTGATTCCTCCAAAACATATCAGTGGTGTGTTTCAAGGCTCTAAAATGCTACCCATCTTCAGGCAAGTATATGGATGTGTGAGTGTGGCTGGGTGAACGAGTTACAATAGTTTAAAGTGGTTTAAGTAGTTGTCTGAAATACCTCATCATTTAATAAGCGGTTGATTTTATTTAATGGGCTTCACATGTGAGTTTACATGTGTATGCCATTTACTGTCAATTCATTCATGTCACGTGTAAAGTAACAAATTCTTTCCGTAAGGTTAACTTCAAATATTTTAAAGATAAACAAGATAATTTTTTGTTTTGTTTTTCTCCCCATGGTGGGATAATACTTTGAGCTGTGCTTCCAGGCCTCTTTTGTCTTTCATGAATTTTATGTAGCATGTAAGGAAACAAATAAATAAATAATAATAACGAAAGAAATTATGTTTTCAACTCAGTGAATTGAAAAATTGAAGCGAAAGCCAAAAAGACAGTCCAAGGAAAGAGAGACGGAGAAAGAGCTTGCCATCCTTGGTAATGCCATTAATGTCAAGGTGGAAGGAGGGGAAAGCAGACATCCAAGATGATGAATATTTAAGGATGCCCAAAGTGAAGAGCTGTTTTAGAAACAAAGTGGGACAGAATGCCCTCATGAAGGCAGCCCTTTAGGACCTATTCTTACACAGTATGTGCCTTTATGAATATTCATTGTTCATTGTCCCAAAAACAATTTGCTTAACTCCTCTGACTTTTTTCACCCATAAAATGCATTTTTGCCAATGCACTGCTAAGTATTCAAGTTTAAACTCTGTTGAAAAGCCCCCTGACTTATAGTGCAATAGATAAAAAAAAAAAAAAAGGTTGAATAAGATGAAACTGAGCATAGATGTGCAATGTATGGCCCATAAACAGGGGAACTATTTTGTCATATGAAACTGCACATTGTATTCCCACTGAATTGCTTGATGCAACATTTCTGTGACACACTGCAACGTGAGTAACTGTGTCACCAGCTGTGGAGAAGTGTGGATGTATGATGTCATGCCACATTTGTTTAAAATTGGAGGACCGTATGAACTTGTTTTACAAACTATCATGGTGCTCTGGAGCAGAGCTCACAGCATGCAATGGGTTAGCTTTTTTGAAACAGTGTCAGGATCCTGAAATGAAGAATAACAGGCGCTGAAAAAAAACTAAATGCAGATTGTAACTGCTACATATGTCGGCCTCCATATTGGCTTTACATCAAAGAAGAACAGGAAAAGACAAACTAAACTTTCAGATTTTCTCAAAATTGTTCAACATGTTTTGAATGCATTTCTACTTTTGTGGATTTAGGTAATTTTCTTATGCTTTTTTTGTTATTTATTTGCTGAGTTGAAACAATTTTTTTATTTACATTTTTCTTTTATTAGGTCTCTGCTTTAAGAAAATCATTTGCATTTTTTTATTGATAAATTAAACCTCTATATTGTATTTTACAAGAAAGAGGTGCCAATTTAGTGGCAATTTAAAATTACTAAATATTTTTTTAATAGTGTTTTTCCTTTTTTTTAATTTTTCTCAACCAAGCCCATTTAGAAACATACAATGTATGCTAGTTTCCATTTAAAACGCGTTCCCCATGACCTTTTCATGACAGAATAATATACATCTTCTACATCAACAAGCAGTCCTTGAACATGATTGTAAAGCATTTTATGCTCATGCATCACTCTGAGTCAACATCAGCAGAATGCCTCAAACCCAATAGGAGATGATTCATTTTTTTACAGTGACTGATGCAAATATCCTATGATTTTTATTTTTTAAAAATATTTTAATTACAGTCCCTTTAATGCTCTACTGCCTTTAAATCTTCCTCCTCATTTCTCTGGTTTTTGGTTGCCTTTAATTGACTTTTAACCGTGACTTACCTCTCCTACATCAGACACACAGTTGCCTTTCAGTGTTCTCTTTTTGACATTGTTGTGTGTTAGCTAGACCTTGTGAACTATGTTTGCAATTCTGGAGATTCTTATACAAAATCCTGGGTAACATTATGTGTGTCATTAATTAGGAACAAGGGAGAAATAGCTTGAAAGCTACTCACACGGGCTTCTGTAATTAGGTCTCTTCATAGAGATATCATATTTGGTAACCTTGGTTGCTGCTTCCAGCTTGAAATAAGTAATGAATTAAAAGACACGCCACTAGAAATGGGCAAAGCTACAACTAATTAGAACAGCTTCATGGCTCAAGAAGGTAGATTCTTACTTGAACTTGTTGTACAAGTTGTTCAAGCAATCTTTTCCACTTTGAGGGTGGTTGTGTTACAAAGTGTTGTCTAATATTAACTTAATTGTGGCAACAGAAAGTGTACATCACCAATAGATATCATATAATGATTTCTGTTTTTTTATTGTTTTGTGAAGCTTTAAAATGAAAACAATTGAGACATTAATACCTTCTGTGTGCTGTACCATTTATTCTTCTGTTCATTTCTATTAATATGAAACATTTTTAGTCAGGTGAGGGAATTTTAAAATCATTGAAATGAGGGATAATCAAAATTTAAGCACAAGTTAAAAAAGCACTTAAATAATGGAAGTTATGTTTTCATTTTTGACATTTAAAAGGCTTTAAGATGTTTGAGGAAACGCAAGGGTGGGATTTCTCTAGGCCTCTCGCGTTAAACAAGAAGTCAAGCAATCGCACTACAAAGGAAAATGATCAACCTCATTTTAATTTATCGGCTTTATCGTTTCTTACCGCCTTTTTCTCTTTCTATTGAGGACATTGGATGAGAACAGGCTCTCCACTGACCTGTCCCTTCCTCATTTCCTTGGCGTTAAGTTCAGTTCACGCTATACGATTTTGGAATTGTTGTCGTCGGCCCATTTCAAAACCTGAGCAACCACTCACTAGCTGACAAAAATCGGAGGTATAACGGGTTCAATCGTGCCGTGTGGTGTCCAACAATGGGCACAAAATAGTCACTACAAGTTATTATATCATTACCATTTTATCAGTTTGAAATGGTTTTCAAACAATATTATCGTTTATCGCAATAATTTTTGAGACAATTAATCGCTCAGCAAAATTTGCTATTGTGATAGGCTTAGATTTCACTGCCAAGATTTCAGAGAAATGAACATCAGCTTGGTATTTCTTGTTCAGGAAAGAATGCCCCATTTTCCCCCAAACCTCCTGAAATTGCAGTTTTGCCAAGATGCTTCGTATGTATTGTGTGATTGAGTAGACACACGGCAAGAGCAGTAACTCTTCAAGTAGCTTGAAGAAAAATGTATGCAGAGAGCATGTTTTTTTTTTTTTTCGGTATTGTGTGTGCACACTCTGTGAGTCAAAATCAGGCTGTTGGCGGACCCTCACTGTGTCAGTGATGGTAATAGTTTGCTAGAACCTTAGGGGAGCTGCTCAGCGGGACGGGAGTGTGTGTGCATGGGAGTTTGTTTGCGTGCACAAATCTGTTCACACGCACATATCAGCAGGAAAGGGTAGCGCAGGCCCCACAGTGCATGTCTCAACAGCCAAGTCATCAGCCCTTTTAATCCAGCCCAGCAGGGATGTGTTTGTGTTTTTGACAGTTCTTGTGTGTCTGTGCGTTTGAAAAACTTCAGGAGAACTGCTGTCATAAAGTTGGTTTTGTAATCCTCTGAGGCGAAGCACAAATCATTCTGGAAACGCTTTCAACCCGACATGCGTCTTTAGTATCGACATGTATTACACATTTGAGTCTGTCTTTTGTCTGTGTCATGTTCATTTTTGTCAGTTTTGTTTACAGATGCTACCAAACATGTCCAATGTTGATAATTTCTCTTCTCTTTCTCCCCCTGCAGGACGAATGTCATAGGATGAACACTGCTGGTGGGGTGTGTCTGTCTGTGCTGTCCTCCCTCCTGGCCGTGGCTGGGGCCCTGGCTGCTCTGTCTGCCCTTGCTCTAGCTCCTCTCTCTACCCTAGCTGAGGTTGCCTATGGGGCTGCTGAAAGCATCCCCAGCACAGGGGCAGAAGGGGGCCCCTCACCCATCTCCTCACCATGCTCCAGCCTTGTAGCAGGGGTGCTCTATGGTTCTTTCTCCCTAAGGGAGCTATTTCCCTTCAGGACACCTGGTTGTTCTTGGTCCTTGGAAAATCCAGATCCTACAAAGTACTCCCTCTACCTCCGCTTCACCCGAAACCCCATCATCTGCCAAATGCACCACCCCATGCTCCTGTCTCTTGACCACCATCAAGCCAATCAAAGCTGCCCTCTCCATCTACAAACTGTAACAGCCAGGGATCAGGAGATCATTGATCTCTGCGGCAGCCCCTTGAACTCAGACAGACCCTACTCCTTCCTGCAGTTTGATAAAAACTTTGTTCAGTTATGTCTGACGAGACACCCTGCTGCAGATGAGCCTCAGGTAACAAAGGAATTGGTGGAGCAGAGGCTGGTGGAGGTATTGCTCATTAACAACGAAAACTCCAGTCAGTTCACCTGCGGCGTGCTCTGTCGTTGGTTTGAGGAGTGTCTGCGGACGGACCCCAATGGGAACCAGGAGACCACTGACGGGGATGTTTGTGGGATGACGCAAACAGGCTGCATTTGTCCTAATCATAACATCATGGCACCGCCGATTCCACTACTTCCGGAGACACCTCACAGTTTCAGCAACGGTTCCCTCGTCCCTGATGACTGCTGTGTAACCGAACTTCACTCCAACGATGCGATTGCCATAGCACCGAGAGACGTCAGGCAAGGTAGGGTTTATGATTGAAGTTTTTTTCTGTCTCGCTTACACCATTTTCATATTGGTTCTGTGCAGGTCTTTATTTAATACAATGTGCATTGATACATATTGAAATGATACGTGGTTGACCAAACATTGTTAATATTCAAAGTGCTTTTTTATCTCAAATGTGCAGTTGTTTGCCTTTGTACTCGACAAACAGACAAGAGAAGTTCTTGTTTTCCTGTGTTTTCATATCACCCCGGGGAGGTCAAAATTCTCTGCTTGATAGAGAATTTATTATTTGAATTTTGTCTTGTGCATGTTGCCCTTTAATTAAAAACCGAGGCAGTTCAAAGGAAGCCTTTTAAACCTCTCATCAAAAGATTAGTAATGCCTGACAGAAATTCTGCCTTTTGATCTATATTTTAGAGATTTCCCCATGTGGGCAAGAGGTGTGGTTCCTACAGTATCGGTCTACAGGCAAGCACATCATTGTGTGCGTACGGCACAAGTGCGTGAAACAGTCTGTTTACACAGTGCAGAGGGGATCAGATGCGCAACGACGGGCACAAATTTGCGCAAATGGTCATTTATACATCGATAAATTGAACATGAAGCAGATAATCCGTTTATACACAAGATGATTGCTTCTTTCATTTGCATAATTCCTTGTGTGCCTTAAGCAATGTACATAAATAATCGGTTTGAAGGAACAGAAATATGACAAGCGCAAACACTGAAGCTTCTTTAATCATTTGCCTTCATCACTACCAAAAGGTGATTTATTCCATTAAAATCACATTGGATGAATATATTTAATACACATGTTATTCTAAATTGTCTTTTCTTTGTCTTTAATTGAACATAAACTGCCAGGCCTCTTTAAGAGCAACCACATTTATGTGGAACCAGGATACCTCTGAAAAACTTGGCCTGAATAGTAAACACATCTGTAGAACTCCATGGAGAGTTTCGCCTTGCTTCTAGGAAGGTTATTTTTGTTTAGGCTTTATGCAGGTGGAGATCATATCATCTAATAAATTCACAAAGGGAGAAATAAGGAGGCAGACAAATAACTGATCATGAGATAGTCTTTCCCCTATTTTACTTTAGTATAATGCAGTAGTATAATGCAATATAGCAACTCTGAGCCAACAGAAAATGTCTGAATCACACTGAGTTACTGAGGGACTACATCATATGTTTTGAATCTGGTTTATCATCTGCTCTTATCTCTTACTGGCTGGCCAGAACTTCATAGAAGCTTTGGTGGACTTAAGGGTGTGATCAAGCCTTACAAAAGTACATCAAATTTCAACATCCTCATTATCCGATGTCTCATTGTCTCTGTGTGAGACATTTAGCTGAGCTTAAATTTAAAGTTTTTTTTGTTCTTCTGTGTCTTCTGTGCAGGAATACATTTTAAATTGCAAAACCAAAGGGTGTCTGTGAAAGTTTATTTGGGATAAATGTAGGACATTTACTGTCTGAATCTCAACAGTGGTCATAAGAACAAATGTGAGACACAGGCTTAAAAAGAGCTGTCCCCCTGTACGATGGCCAACCGCCCCTTCGGACATATTGTGAAACGCTCCATCATCCATGGGGATCTTGAATTAGAGCCAATGCTCTTCCACGTCGAAGAGTCAGTTGAGGCGATTCAGCTATGTGATCAGCATGCTTGCTGGGGAGTTCACAATTTCAATATCATGTCCCACTTTGAGGAGAACCTGGGGCAGCCAGACACGGAACTGACAGAACAGATCTTTGCGACCCAATACGAGATGAGCAGCAGATGGATTGAATCTGACAAACAAATTATGCAATCTGTAGACCTAACTCATCTGAGATGGGGTAAATGTAATGATAAATCCATCACCCATCAAGTTTGACATAATTTTTGATGCGCGCTGTTGCCACGTATGACAGCACAGAAGCACAATCATAAATGATCCATTGCTGATAGAGGTAGTTACACATGCCTGTGTTTATCAACTGGAGGGCCAGTGATACAATCTGCAGCTAATTTTTCATTGCTTATTTATTACCAGCACATAAATTCACATTGCTGTGTTCACTTTTCTATCTCCTGATTCTTTTTTTATTATTCAAATATGGATTAATCTTGATCTCAACTATCAATGAACAAAAGCTTTAGTGATTTATGATTAATATTTAATTTGTTTATATGACTATATTAAAAAAATAATACTTTGACTGCAAGGAGAGGAGGTTAAAAGGAAAAAAAAAAGTTTTGAAAAATGACCTGCAGCAGGCTTCACTGTTGCTGCCATTGCCATTTTCACAGTGGGGATTGTAAGTGGAGATTGATTATGCAGTTTTATTTGTGCCACATGTAGCCTTTTACAGGTCGGCCAGGTCGTTTGAATGTAGCTCCTTTCGACAAGATCACCTATTTTAAATTGTGGCAAATTGCAAAAGGAAACATCCAGGAGAGTTGTTCCTTCCGTGTAGAGTGCTTTGCAAAGAAAATATAAGGAATGCATAGGTTGTGCTTAGATAATTCAATTTAGTGAAAATTATGTTTACTGTTAGCAATACATTCATCTACTATAGTTGTGCAAAATGATACTAACTCTGATACAGATACTTTTTTTTTCTTGAAATGTCATTATCATTGGAAATTTTAATTTTGGTGATATAAATTGGTGATTTGACTTTGAATGATTGATAAAATACAAGAAAAATAAAAATATGGAAAAATTCTGTTTCTATTCACTGACTAAAATGTAACACATTCTAGCAGAATAGAAGTAGAATAATTCTCTTAATTTTTTAAAACACAGAACTCTGCATCAAACCTAATTGGAAAGCCATTTTCTTTTCATTTAAAACAAGCGTAACCTTATTCAGTCATATTAATATTTCATGATTGAGGCATATATCTTTACATAAGTGTACATTTTTGAGCTCCAGTAAGATATTTTTTCATCTGTCTCCATAGAAAATGGCTTAATCAGTATGTTAAAATTAAAATTTCAACTCCGATCACAGATTAAACCCTGAAAGCCAAGACAGAGTGAGGCGTGCTGTTTGCCTGGACAGTTTTGGAGTGAATCTGCAGTGGTGAGAAAATCAAACAGATTGTATTTGAAAGAAAGCAGTCGTTCTGAATGGGAACATTAAAGTCCTGTATGGAGTATGGCTCTTGAGTTAAAAATGCATATTTGACAATTTAATCTTAGTAAAACAATTTGAGCAATTTACTGGACATAGAATAGAAATTTCAAATGTTGCGCTAGTGCCAGTTCTCGCCTTGGTGTCAATGGAACTGATAGAAAAATCGACATGCCCAGTTCTACTATCCGCCTACCAAAACCAAACAAAACAGTCGCAGTCGAAAGAACAATTTAGAATTTCCAATTAAACTTACATGCATTTGGTTGGACTGTGGGAGGAAACCGGAGTAAATCTTGCAACCATGAGAACTGCTGCTTGCGCTGAATTAAATTTTACACTGACAAAATTAAAGTTAGCACAGCTGTGGGTGACCTGTGGAAATGTAAACACTATGTACCTGCAGGAAATGATTATAATAAGGAGAATTACAGGCAAGACATATTTTGGTTCATCTTACCACTGGAGAGAAAATTGAAAAAAAATATCTGAAATAAATCTCTCTATAATAGTTTGTACTTCATCTGCAATGTTTTTAGTTTGAGGTCCTAGGTCTCTGTCCATCAAAATTATTTGCTAATCTGACATTGGACTTATTTGAGACCTATAACTACATACAGTATGGATAAACAAACGTGTTTTCATTTCCATATAAATTAGATATTATGGAGAAAAAAAGCCCACAATGGAAACTGTGCAAACCAAGCTGACTATTTTTATCCTACCCTTTCATCTCTATTTTAATTTATTTTGGAAATGCATCATTTATGTACACTTATTTGCGTATCGTGAATGTTTGTACCTGGCTTTGTTACGAGGAGGCTTATGGTGATGCATAACGGAGGTTAAAAACTATCTCTTCTCTTGAGCTATGAATATTTCAGAGAACAATTCAAATCAGGTAGGAAAACATAACCAGTGCATTAGAGACCGAAGCAGATACTGACGCATTTGCATTTGCTACATCTATGTACACAAAACATAACCAGTTGGTATTTACGGAACTTTCTAAGGTGACAGTGCCACCTGCTGAATGTGGTTGTATTGCAAGAACGAAAAAAGAAGGAATCCAATTAAATAAAAATAATACTCTCTCTGTATGCAACTGTCCTTGTTTTATAAACTTGTAACCTCAACTTGGTCATGTAATGTGGAAAACATAAAATGGTATGTTGGTTACATACATCTGCGTTTCCTTAGTTTTATATTTTCTCCGTCTGTCTCTCCAGGACAGATTTAGATTTGATTTGCCTGCTTCTCCATTGTACTATTTTTTCTTTACATGGAAACTATTTTTACATGGTGTTATTTTTCTAATAGTGTTGCTACATTTTTTTATTTTTTATTTTTTACCTTTTCAAGGATATTTCCTTTTAGTTGGTGTCCACCATTGGAACTATTATGGTATTATTATATCATGGTAAAGGTTGTGAAATAGAATAAATTTGGTGGTTCAGTATAGTCAGGTTCCACAGGTAACACAGACTGCAACCGTCAACACTTCATGTTGCATAATTAAACCGTTTAGGTTTCAGTAGATGCAGCTGTTATGGGTGCCGAACATTCGAGGTGTAGGTAGAGCACCCATCAGTCTTGCCAGGGAACCAAAATGGATTTGAGTTAATCAAGAAATGCAATCCCCTCTACATGTGAACCACTTCTGTGTTCAAGTTTGTGGGATATTTATCCCTTTTCTTTATTATTCATTATATTGCTCATGTGCTGGGATGCATGTGTTCATACGGAATGGGTGCTGCTGCTGTCACAGTGATGGATGATGGATGCAACACTCGCCCCTTTTTGTCGTAGTGATTGAGAACCGGAGGATGCACAAGGTTAAAGCTATGATCTGAACCAGGAAACGGAGAGCTTTTAACTGTGAAAGTCATG